GGTTGATTTTGGTGTTGGTGGGGGGGTTTTTGGTTTGGGTGTGGGGTTTTGTTGTGGGGGGTTGATTTTGGTAAATGGGGGGTTTGAGGTGTTGGTGGGGGGTTTCACCTTTTTTGTTTTTGTGGGGGGGGAGGGGGTGTGGGGGGGGTTTTTTTTTTTGGTGTGGGGAGGGGTCTGTTTTTGGTGGGGGGGGGGGGGGGGGGGGGGGGGGGTTTTTTTTGTTGTTGTGTGGTTTTTTTTGTTTTTTTTTTTTTTTTTTTTTTTGGGGGGGTTTTTTTTTTTTTTGTGAATGGGAGGGGTTTTTTGAATGGGGGGTTTGAGGTTTTGAATGGGGGGGGTTTTTTTTCTGAATTGGAGGTTTTTTTTTTTTTTGGTTGAATGGGGGGGTCTGATTTTGAATGGGGGGGGTTTTGGGGGTTTGTGTGGGTTTTTTTGATTCCTGTTTGGGGGTGGGATTTTGGGTTTTTGTTTTTTGAATGGGGGGGGGTCTGTTTCCTGGGGTTTTTTGAGGTTTTTTGGTGAAGGGAGGGTTTTGATTCCTTAATGGGGGGGGTTTGGAGGGGGGGTGGGTTTGTGGGGTTTTTTGTGATTGTTTTTTTTTAGGGGTTTGGGTTTGGGGTTTGGTGGGGGGGTTTGTTCCTGAATGGGAGGGGTTTTGAGGTTTGTGAATGGGGGGTCTGATTCCTGAATGGGGGGGTTTGGTTTTTTGAATGGGGGGGGTGGATTTTTTGGGGGGGGGGATAGGTTTGTGGGGGGGGGGTCTGATTCCTGAATGGGTTTTTTTTTTTGGGGGGAGGGGGGTCTGATTTTTAATGGGGGGGTTGGTTTTGGTTTGTTAATTTGGAGGGGTTTGATTGTTGGAATGGGAGGGTTGTGTTTTTTGAGGATTTTTTGTGGGGGGGGGGGGTCTGATTCCTGAATGGGAAGGGTTTGATTTTTTGTGAATGGGGGGGGTCTGATTCCTGAATGGGAGGGGTTTGAGGTTTGTGAATAATTTTTTTTTTTCTGATTCCTGAATGGAGGGGTTTGAGGTTTGTGGGGGAAGGGTTTTTTTTTTTTTTTTTCCTGAATGGGAGGGGGTGTGGGGGTAAGTTGTTTTTTTTTGATTCCTGAATGGGAGGGGTCATAGATTTGTGTTTTGGGAGGGGTCTGATTCCTTTTTGGGGGGGTTTTTTTTTAATTTTTGAATGGGGGCTGGATTTTAGTCATGGGGTGGGGGGGGCTGCGTTCTGATGAGGGGGGTTGTCGGGTTTTGCATTCCTTTCGGGTATGTAACCCTTGGGGGATTTGTTCTCTCCACATCTTTTTTTCCTGTTGCAGGGGATGCCTTTTTTTTTTTTTGTATCTTAGTTTTTGACTTTGTTTTTTTCAGTAAGCCAATCACGGAGCAGGAAATGACATTTTGGTGGGTGTTCCTTATATCTTTTGTGTTTTTTTGTTTCCAGGCCGCCATTTTGCATTTCACAGGTTTTTTGCACGGCTTGTGGAGATCTTTGTGTTACTCTTTATTTTTGTATTTTAGTTTTTATTTGGTTTTCCCGACTGCTTTGCCCAGAAAGTTTTTTTTGGGTTTCAGGAATGGGGGGGATGTTCCTTTTGTCTTTTTTTTGTGGCGCTATCGCTCCTTTTTTTTTTGTGCTTTTTTTTTTTGAAAGTCTTTTTTTGGGAAATGAGGGAAACAGAAGTGAGAATAAAGTTTTTTTTTTTTGCGTCTATGTTGGAGTTGCGCGTTTTTTTTGCAGACACTTTGGGGCCATATTTCTTTTTGATGGTGTGTTTTGGTTTGGTGGGGGAGGGGTTTTTTTATCATTGTTTTTTCTTTTTTTTGTTTTTTTTTTTCAGTGTCCCCCCCGCCGTTTTTTTTTTGTTTTTGCCGTCCCCCCCACCGCCACCAACGTTTTCACCATCAAATACGGAATTTTCCGCGTTTCCGGTTTTTTGCCATCCCCACAGTTTTTTTTTTTTCTGGAACAAACCTTTTTGTTTTCAAAGTTGTGACAAATCGCACGCTTTTTTGCTGAGGTTTTTGTGACAGACGCACATTTGGCGATTGGCGTTTTTTTTTTTTTTTTTGGCAGAGAGGGGTTTTTTTTTTTTCCAGCGTTTCTCAGAGCGTGTTCCAGCAAAGTCCAAACATCCCGATGATTTTTTTTTTTTTTTTTTTTTTTGGGGAATTTTTTTTGCACATGGGGGGGGCCAATTTTTTTTTTAGGGATTTGTCATTTTTTTTGTTTTTTTTGGGTTAGTATTTTTTTGTAGTATTGGGTTTAGTTTTTTTTTTTTTTATTGGGTGTATTTTGTTTTTTTTTTTGTTTTTTTTTTTTTTTTTTGTTTTTTTTTTTTTTGTTTTTTTTTGTTTTTGGGTTAGTTTTTTTTTGTTGTTTTTGGGTGTATTTTTTTTTTTTTTTTTTTTTTTTTTTGGGTGTTTTTTTTTTTTTGTTTTTTGTTTTTTTTTTTGTATTTTTTTTTTTTTTTTTTTTTTTGTTTTTGTGGTTTTTGTTTTTTTTTTTTAGGTTAGTTTGGGTGTGATTTTTGTTTTTTTTTAGTATTTTGTTTTGGGTGTAGTTTGGGTGTATTTTTTGGGTTTTTTTTTTGGGTGTAGTATTTGTGATTTTTTTTTTTGTTTTTTTTTTGTGATTTTTTTTTTTTTTGTTTTTTTTGTTTTTTTTTTTTTTTTTTTTTTTTGGGTGTGTAGTATTGGGGGTGTTTTTTTTAGGTGTAGTATTGGGTGTGATATTGGTTGTAGTATTGGGTGTTTGATATTGGGTGTAGTATTGGGTGTATTGTTGGGGTTAATATTGGGTGTAGTATTGGGTGTTAATATTAGGTGTAATATTGGGTGTAGTATTGGGTGTAGTATTTAGTGTAATATTAGGTGTAGTATTGGGTGTAGTATTGGGTGTGATATTGGTTTTTTTTATAATATTGGGTGTAGTATTGGGTGTAATATTAGTGTGTAGTTTATTGGGTGTGATATTGGGTGTAATATTGGGTGTAGTATTGGGTGTAATATTAGGTGTAGTATTGGGTGTAATATTGGGTGTAGTATTGGGTGTAGTTTTGGGTGTAATATTGGGTGTAGTATTGGGTGTAATATTAGGTATAGTATTGGGTGTAATATTGGGTGTAGTATTGGGTGTAATATTGGGTTTGTAGTATTGGGTGTGATATTGGGTGTAGTATTGGGTGTTTATTTTTGGGGTGTAGTATTGGGGGTGTGTGATATTGGGTTTGTAGTATTGGATGTAGTATTGGGCATAATATTAGGTGTAATTTTGGGTGTAGTATTGGCCGTATCATTGGGTGTAATATTGGGTGTAGTATTGGGTGTGATATTGAGTGTAATATTGGGCGTAGTATTGGGTGTAATATTGGGTGTAGTATTGGGTGTAGTATTGGGTGTAATATTTGGTGTAATATTGGGTGTATCATTGGGTGTATTATTGGGTGTATTATTGGGCATAGTATTAGGTGTAGTATTGGGTGTAATATTGGGTGTCTTATTGGGCGTAGAGTTGAGCAGATAAAGTTAGGGGTGGAGATGGGGTACAGGGCTGGCTCCATGATTAGTGATTGGCTGAGAGGACAGGTTTGGGTGTTGGGTGGAGAAGATACGGCTAAATTGAGGATTTGAGTCGGGGCAACTATAAAGGACTAGCTGAGACAATAAAGTTCGGTTGAGCTTTAGGCTGGGTTCAGGGTTTATGGCAGAGACCGATTGGAGAGATTGAGGCTGGTCTCAGGATCAGGAATACTTGTTGGGTAAATTGTTTGGTAGGTTTAGGATTAGGGATTGGCTGAGAAGTCAGGATTGGGTTCAGGATAAGGATTGGAGATTAAAAATTGTTGAGGGTTATGGGTTAGAGATTGGATGGAGAGATTAGGGTTGGTTTGAGGATCAGGGTCGGGGGTTGGGTAAACTGAGTGCCAGGTCAAAGATTAGGGATTTGGTTAAGGAGTCCGGATTGGAGGTTAGGCTGGTTGGGGGTTGGGTCAGTCCAGTTACAGTTTTGGGTTCTTTGCTGTAATATTGTGCCATAAACATGAAATGGACTGGAAGCATCAGTAGCATCTTCCATATACCATACATATTGTGACAGTGTGCTGGGTCCTATCATGGTGGAAAAAAGAGGTAATTGGCACACAGGGACCCCCCCAACACAGACTGAGGGGCTCCGGCATGTTGGTTCTATGCAAAGAAAATTGGTTTATGTTTTCTCCGGGTTTTGTAATTCTTGGATTGGGTTCTGGAGTCCAGAGGCTTCAAACTTGATGGGGAGGAAGCCTCTAACCCTGGGTCCAATTCTTGCTGGAGATGCCGGAGATATGTAGGTGTGTCCAGCCTTTATTAGCTGGGCTTGGCCTGCAGTTCAGAGCTCCACCCTGAAGACAGGAGGTTCCCAGCCCAGAGGCCGGGGAGTGGGCCAGAGCAGAAGGGAGCTGCAAGATTGAGAGCCGAAAGGGCTGAGAAAGGTGCCAAGGTTGGCGGTGAGCACAGCAGTGCTGGGAGATGGTCTGTGGGACCAAACCAGAGGCCTAAGCTTGAGGCTGAGCAGTTGGTGCTGCCGGAGCGAGCCAGAAGGATCGCTTTCTGTTGTGTTTCAGGTCATGGTGGAAACCCCTCAGAGGGCAACCATTTCCTGGCTGGGAGTGAACTCACTGAGAAAGCTCTACACTTGAGGGAAACCCCGAATATCACAACTAGAGATGAGCGAATTATTCAAAAATTCGATTCGACTGATTCGGCGAATTCGCGGAATAAATTCGATTCGAGTCGAATATATTCGCTGCAAATTTAACGTATAAAAAGGGTGTTTCTAGGCTTCAGAGAGCCTTTATATTAGTGCAGAACACTGTACCTTTAATTTAAATGCCCTTGGAGTCTGCTGGGGAAGAGAAATAATACTGTCAGTCAGTATGACATGCAGATGAGTGCCGTCCATCTTAGAATCACCGCACACTTCACTCCTTTGGCCAGTCACGGGGCCAAAACCAGTGTGTGGAGCCACAGTGTGGCGGTGGAGGCAGCAGCAATGGGAGGCCATGCAGCACCCTATGACAAAATGGAACCCACCAGCAGTGTGAGGAGACCTGAAAGTGGCACATGGCAGAGTGTGGCGATGGAGACAGCAGCAATGGGAGGCGGTACAGGGACCCATGACAGACTCTGGACCTGGCAGCAGCATGAGGAGTCGGTACGGGCCCATGGCAGATTACGGGCCTGGCAGCAGCAAGAGGAGGCGGTACAGGGGCCCATGGCAGAGTGGCGGAGCGTAAGCAGCTAAAATTGAAGGCCATACAGAGGCCTATGTTTAAAAGTCCCTCACAGTTAATTCCAATAACGAACTCTACTCCTCCGTGCAATCTACTTACGAGACCCTGGGCAGGTCTGGGTCCAATTTGTGGTAGAGACTGGTTTTGTTCAGCCATGCTTGAGCGAGTAATAACAGGTCTGTGCTGCCCTTTGGTGTCTGGCTTAATGCGCACAACACTGACCGTCCCAGCGTTTGTCAACGATTTGCCGTTAAGTGATGCAAACCCGCTGAACCACGTTCATGAGGAGCCGGTACAGGGGGCCATGAATCAGTATGGACCTGGCAGCAGCGTGAGCAGACGACAGAGGCACTGTGTCCCTGAGTAACGATTCTGTGTCCCTGAGTAACGATTCTGTGGCCCTAAAGTCTCTGTGGCCCTAACTCTGTCCCTTAATACACACAGGTCTGTCTCTCTTGAATGACCGGAGGCTAATGGAGAATTCTAAGATGGCCGCGATTTATAACTCCACCATTACACAGTGCTGGCTGGCTGCTGATTGGCTAATGAGATCACATGTATGAATGCATTATGGGTCAGCGCGCCTTGTCTGCGCGCCTTCCCAGAGATCCCCGCCCCATCTTCTCTGTCCATTTTCTCCGTCGCCACACATGTCGCCGCCATTTTTGGGAAAATTCGATTCGTGCATCCGAAGTTTGCTAATCTTCGGATTCGTCGCGAATCTAATTTTTCCAAATCTTCGGAACGAATTCCACTTCATCATGTTCGATTCGCTCATCTCTAATCACAACTAATAACTCAGACACTCCTTAGACACCAACAGAAATGTTCTCACAGTACCAGTGTGGCCCCTGGTGTCAGGGACCGCCGCGGCTCATGCGTGCGCACTAGCGGCAGCTCACGCCGGGACACAGGCACCAGGTCCCGGCGGGCCGCGGCTGACAGGAGGCCGCGCATGCGCAGTAGGAGCCGCAGGCGCGCCTCGGGCGGCCAATGACAGTGCAGGGCGCGATATTTAAAGATGCCCTGCACTGTCACAAATCGCCGCAAGGTAACCAAAAACCAACACAAACACACCAACACAATAACAAAAACAACACAAACACCAAAAACAACAAAAAAACAACCAAAAATGCTCTGTTACCTGTAGTTCTTGTACCCTGTGATTAAAGACCCGGATTGCCTGACTACGCTGCCTTCTCCTGTGTTTGACCCGGATTATCTGACTACGCTGCCTTCTACTGTGATTGACCCGGATTATCTGACTACGCTGCCTTCTCCTGTGATTGACCCGGATTATCTGACTACGCTGCCTTCTCCTGTGTTTGACCCGGATTGCCTGACTACTCTGCCTTCTCCTATCCCGACCCCCGGCTTGTTTGACCATTCTGCGGACTGACTCCGGTACTGACCCTGCGTGTGACCTGACACACTCTCTGCCTGCCGTCTCTGTACCTCGCCATTTCCCACGGTGACCACCGCCGGTTTATCCTGCCTGGTCCTGCCGGCCTCCTCACATCTGGCTCTATCCTGTCCTACTCTCATCCCCGGAGGCTCCCTCTGCCACGGGTGGTTTCGCTCGGAGGTCGTGACCTGGTCCTGGTTCTGCTCCAAGTCCATCCCCACCATCAGGGGCCCTGGTGAAAACGCAGACCGGGACTTAGACTCCGCGCTCCGGGTGACTCCGCCTAGTGGGCTGCCAGAGGTACCACCTGGCGGATCCGTAACACCTGGGGTGAGCTGACATCAGGGTGGCCACATGGACAAGAATGGGGCTCATGCCAGCACACATTTCTACAGACCTTTACAGACCAGGATCCCATGGTTGGCCTCAAGTTCTTCTCTACCCACCCCCCATCTCCTATCCATGACCCCCCTCCTTTTTCCTCCATCCTCCTTCACCCCTGATTCATGGTTCCTAGCCCCATCAACCCCCCCCCCCCCTTCTTACTACTGTCACTGATTGTGGGGGTGTGATGTGTCCGGCTCTGACCCCCTCCTCCCCTATTCATGCCATGTCTCTGGGGCAGTACACATCCTGCCCACAGTAGAAAGATGCTCTGCCTGGAGACCATCTCTGCATTGTACCCAACACTGTACCCCCCGTACTGTGCCCTCCTGTCCCCCCCACCCCCCGTCTGTGCCCTCCTGTCCCCCCGTACTGTGCCCTCCTGTCCCCCCCACCCATCGTATTGTGCCCTCCTGTCCCCCCGTACTGTGCCCTCCTGTCCCCCCGTACTGTGCCCTCCTGTCCCCCCACCCCTCGTACTGTGCCCTCCTGTCCCCCTGTACTGTGCCCTCCTGTCCCCCCTGTACTGTGCCCTCCTGACCCCCCCCCTGTAATGTGCCCTCTTGCCCCCATGTACTCTGCCCTCCTGCCCCCCCCTGTACTGCGTCCTCCTGCCCCCCCCCCCCCCTGTACTGCGTCCTCCTGCCCCCCCCCCCCCCGTACTGCGCCCTCCTGCCCCCCCTGTACTGCGTCCTCCTGCCCCCCCTGTACTGCGCCCTCCTTCCCCCCTGTACAGTGCCCTCCTTCCCCCCTGTACAGTGCCCTCCCTCCCTCTTCGTTGACCCCTGTACTCTGCCCCTTGACACCCTGCCCTCTTCTTTTTCTGACCTTTTTATTGTTTGGATGTTTGCATTGCTTAGCCTTTGATTTTTGGAACGTTTTCTTATTACTTACAATCTATTTTATTTGATTGTTTTATACCAATAAATGTTTAATTCTATCAACTATTACATCTGGAGAGTAGCTGCGTAAATGGGGGCGGCCTGGTAGGGGCCCCAGTACATTACTCTGCCCAGGGGCCCATGAGGCTAATAGGAAGTGCCTGCCAGTGTTGGTTCCATGGCTCCTCTGGGCACAAAGAGTGACTGTTGTGGATCGGGGAACATACAAGGCCACCAGCCAAACTCTACAATTCCATCGGAGATAAATGAGCCAATTAATCAACGTGCTGCTAGGAGACTCTGCGTGGTCCAAATACGCCGAATTCCAGAGACGCCGAACACAAAGGGACAGGAGCCACCTCAACCTTCCCAGTACATAGAGCAATACGGGGCCCCCACCTGCCAGGGAACACGTCCCAGCCCGGCCTTCATTCTCTATGGACATTGTGGAGCCACAGGTGCCGAGAACGCTTGGTGTGATGCCGAGACTCAGATCCATCATGGAGTAACCCTCGGAATAACGTCTCCATTGTGCCCCAGAACAACATACTACAGAGGTCACACACAGCCCAATCCCGGCCCCATTCCACCATTGATCCACGGGGGTGATAGTGAGGGCCACTGACTCCACCACACATGTACTGCCAGCTCTGGAGCCAACACCGAGAGAAGGCCACACGGGTCTATTGCCATAGGGATGCCTTCTACAACAGAGATATCTCACATCATAAACAGTGCAGTAAACGTATCATGTAGAATTATAGAACAATTGTTGGCAGTGATGACCCCTAAAGTAAATCAATACAGTGCAAATAAAATGTCCTCACAGCTCCGGATCGGTGATAGTGCCTTGTAACAGAAGAATTGCGCACTCACCAGAAGTGCACTAATATAGAGCAATATATATAATATATCCTGGTGTCATCAGGCAAAAGCATCTGGATCAGCGGGTAGAAGGGCTCCCCTCTCAGGATGGATAAGGTCGGGGGATACCGGTATTAATGCTCCAGATCAGAGTTCCCCTTTAGGGATAAGTGGGTGCTGCTCTCAGGTCACAAGAGGCTCCCTCTCTGGATAAGCTCGGTACAGGAGTGTCTAGAAAAATACTCCCCACACGGGGTCAAAACAAAGAGGTGCCCATAGTGTAGTAAATATGGTATTTATTAGATAGGCAAAACAAGGATGCATCCAATAAAAACATGTGTTGGAAACGGCAAAGTAAGACTAACCATCCCAGAAGTGAAATGGCCGCCGGAGCTCCACGATGCTCCGACGGCGTGACGTCAACGGCGCGAGCAGGCTCCTCCTTACGCGTTACGTGCCACGCACATCATCAGAGGTGAGGCTCACCCAATGCTCCGACGGCGTGACGTCAACGGTGCGAGCAGGCTCCTCCTTACACGTTACGTGCCACACACATCATCAGAGGGTGAGCCTCACTCAATGCTCCGACGGCGTGACGTCAACGGTGCGAGCAGGCTCCTCCTTACACGTTACGTGCCACGCACATCATCAGAGGTTGAGCCTCACCCAATGCTCCGACGGCGTGACGTCAACGGCGCGAGGAGGCTCCTCCTTACGCGTTACGTGCCACGCACATCATCAGAGGGTGAGCCTCACTCAATGCTCCGACGGCGTGATGTCAGCGGCGCGAGCAGGCTCCTCCTTGCGCGTTATGTGCCACGCACATCATCAGAGGGTGAGGCTCACCCTCTGATGATGTGCGTGGCATGTAACACGTAAGGAGGAGCCTGCTCGCGCCGTTGACGTCACGCTGTCGAAGCATCGTGGAGCTCCGGCGGCCATTTCACTTCTGGGACGGTTAGTCTTACTTCGCCGTTTCCACCATGTTTTTATTGGATGCAACCTTGTCCAGATGCTGCTCAGAGCCTTTTTCCATCATCAGAAATGCATGCAGAGCGATCTCCATGTATTCAGATGGACCCGGAACACCAGCGCAGTCAGTTGCAGGTTTCGCATGAAGGAAAAAATGGTGGAATGTTGTGTATTATGTTCATGATGGGATCCATAGTGAACACAACCAGAAAAGACAGATCATCTAAACACATACTGCTCTCCCCGTTTCTGCTCTCTCTGCTTCTGCTCTCCCCGTTTCTGCTCTCCCCGCTTCTGCTCTCCTTGTTTCTGCTCTCTCTGCTTCTGCTCTCTCTGCTTCTGCTCTCCTTGTTTCTGCTCTCCCCGCTTCTGTTCTCCCCGCTTCTGCTGTCCCCGCTTCTGCACTCCCCGCTTCTGCACTCCCCGCTTCTGCTCTCCCCGCTTCTGCTCTCCTTGTTTCTGCTCTCTCTGCTTCTGCTCTCCTTGTTTCTGTTCTCTCCCTGATTCTGCTCTCCCCGCTTCTGCTCTCCTTGTTTCTGCTTTCTCCGCTTCTGCTCTCCTTGTTTCTGCTCTCCTTGTTTCTGCTCTCCCCGCTTCTGCTCTCCTTGTTTCTGCTTTCTCCGCTTCTGCTCTCCTTGTTTCTGCTCTCCCTGCTTCTGCTCTCCCCACTTCTGCTCTCCTTTTTTCTGCTTTCTCCGCTTCTGCTCTCCCCGTTTCTGCTCTCCTTGTTTCTGCTCTCTCCCTGCTTCTGCTCTCCCCGCTTCTGCTCTCCCCGTTTCTGCTCTCCTTGTTTCTGCTCTCCCTGCTTCTGCTCTCCCCGCTTGTGCTC